GCCGATTGGATGATGACAGGCTTCCTCACCAGTCACTCCTGACTGGTGAGGAAGCCTGTCAATCATCCAATCGGCCAATCAGCGGGAGAGGTCAGAATGAAGCAGATGACAGAGGAGGTCGCGGCCATCTTGCTTGATTGAAGACGCGATGGAGGTCCTGTGTGCGGCGGATCCGGGTCCCTGAAGATGGCGGACGCGGCACAGGTACTCGTTTTATGTTTTGGAGTATTTGCACGAGTACGAGTACTCATGCAAATACTCTGTATCGCGGCCGATACCGATGCTTGTATCGGTATCGGTGCATCCCTAGTATTTTGTGTCTGGCAACATATTGCTTGTTGTCTTATTTTTTTCATCCCAAGGACTGTTGATGCTGGATTTTTGTGCCCACTAGGTGGAGTTGGTTACCACCTTCTCTTACTAGGTATAATATTTGTCACAAAGACAGTGATGCTGATTTCAGAATATAATTAAATATGGCATAATTCTTTGATATAAATATACTTAACGGCATACATCTCTGTTTTTGCAGGCAGTCTTGTTAAGAAAATCTTAGAGACCAAAAAGGACTATGAGACACAAGCTGATGCAGTCAGTAAGGTAAGATGAACATCAGTATGGAGCACAATAAACATACACTATATTACCAAAAGTATTGGGACACCCCTCCAAATCATTGGATTCAAGTGTTCCGTGAAATTTCCATGCTACTTAATATTCTGCGGTAAACTGTTAGTGGTATTATAACAAAGTGGAAGCAACTGGGAACAGCAGCAACTCAGCCACGGGTTGGTATGCCCCGTAAAATGACAGAGCGGGGTCAGCGCATGCTGAAGCGCACAGTGCGCAGAAGTCGCCAACTATCTGCAGAGTCGATAGCAACAGACCTGCAAACTTCGTGTGGCCTTCAGATTGGCACAACAACAGTGCGTAGAGAGCTTCATGGAATGGGTTTCCATGGCCGAGCAGTTACATCCAGGCCTTACATCACCAAATGCAACGCAAAGCGTCGGATGCAGAGGTGTAAAGCACACCGCCACTGGACTCTAGAGAAGTGGAGACGTGTTCTCTAGAGTGACAAATCACGCTTCCCTGTCTGGCAATCCGAAGGTAGTGTCTGAGTTTGGCGGTTGCCAGGAGATCGGTACTTGCCTGACTGCATTGTGCCAAGTGTAAAGTTTGGGGGGGGGAGGGTATTATAGTGTGGGGTTGTTGTTCAGGTGTTGGGCTTGGCCCCTTAGTGCCAGTGAATTGAAATCTAAAGGCATCAGCATAGCAAGACATTTTGGACAATTTCATGCTCCCAACTTTGTGGGAACAGTTTGGGGACGGCCCCTTCCTGTTCCAACATGACTGCGCACCAGTACACAAAGCAAGGTCCATAAAGACATGGATGAGCGAGTTTGGGGTGGAGGAACTTGACTGGCCTGCACAGAGTCCTGACCTCAACCCGACGGAACACCTTTGGGATGAATTAGAGCGGAGACCAACATCAGTACCTGACCTCACAAATGCGCTTCTGGAAGAATGGTGCAACATTCCCATAGAAACACTCCTAAACCTTGAAGAGTTGAAACTGTTAGCGGCAAAGGGTGGGCCAACTCAATATTGAACCCTACAGACTAAGACTGGGATGCCATTAAAGTTCATGTGCGTGTAAAGGCAGGCGTACTTTTGGTAATAATACTTTTGGTAATATAGTGTATATTACCATGTTGTTTAAAACAAACAATGGTGTGTGTGTGTGCATACATACATACCTGTAGCAGTAAACGGGTAGAGGCATAAACATAATTTGAATGCAAATGACAGCAGGATAAAAAGAAATAACTTAGCCCATTCTCTGCTGCGCACGCCACACATAGGTAAGGAAAAAAGGGGTTGTCATAGAAGTTAAAGCTCTGCATAACACTATAAGTTGAACAAAAATCGTCCCATGAGGGATAAGTTCAGACACGCACCTTATTGATGGGGCAGAAAATGATGCAGAAACCACCTGCACTCCATGCAATGACCGATTTAAGCAAGGTTGTGCTCATAGTACCATATAAATCCTTAAGATGATAAAAGAGCAGTCACCAGCACTCAAGCGTCCAAGGTGCAAACCTAGTCTCATTTATTGTAAATATGTTACATATACAGTACTGTACTGCATTAGTACAGTGCTGTATAGTGTTGCAGTACAATGTACAGTACTGTATAGTGTACTGTACATCGGGCAATAAACTACTCACCGAGACCTGCAGTGAAGAACGGAGTACAGCACTTCCACCAGCAACACGTCGCACGGACGCTGACACGCAAGTTCGGAGGTCGGTCGTAAGTGCGAGTGGTCGCAAAGCTGGTAAGTCGGTAAGAGAGGAATGTCTGTACGTACAATAAATTAGACTAGGTTTGCACCTCGAATGCTCGAGTGCTGGTGACTTATCTTGTGGTTGAGACAGTCGGCATTCTTCTAAACATAATGTAGGTCTATAAGTAGGACTGCAAAACGTTCCAAAAAACAGGATACAGTGTAAAATTTACAAACTCCTATCATATAAAACATGTGAGGCTATAAAAAAATAGTGGGTAGTGAAGTTTTTTTTCTTCTTGAATTGTGCTAGAAAGTAGCCAGTTAGATTGATTGCTCCGGTGAGGTGTATTTGAGGTTTTCTACTTAGTAGTATCTACCCAATACATCTTCTTCTGTTCATACACAAAGCAGAATTGTACAAGAAATAACATTTCTCATTTTGGATGGCATGGGGCAGGCTAGGTCCCCCTCCCCACGTATGTGCAGTTTTCTCTTGGACACTAGTAGGCAGATCTTCCATGTGATCACAGCTGATGCTGCTCAATTGTTCTACTGAGCCTTTAGTGCAAGAATGCTAAACTCGGTGAGCCAAAAAAATTGGGCCGAATTGAGTGAATTAATGTTCAAGGGGCTACATGAAGTCTACAGAAGGCCACACTTAAGTACTGAAGTGCTTTAATCTTTTTGTTGAATTAACATTATAGCAATTGCAGACAAAAAGGAAAACTCTAAACATTTCCTGAAGTATTTGGTTTAAAAATTAGAGGTCAAAGATACCTTTTATTTACTGGGAACAGGTGGAGTTCATTCAATGTACATTTTTAAATTTGTGTGTCACAATTGTGCAAGAGGATCTCATGCTTCCCAAAAAACACCAGTTTGACAAGCCTTCTCTAGTGCCACATGATGAAGAGTTCTCTATCTATTCTTCAGGAGAATTCATTAGAGGGAGAAGTGATGCAACATCTCTGTGTCCTAGCCTCACCCATTCTAGCTGATTCCAGACAAAGTGAGCTCAGATTGTTACAGCTTTGATGCGGTAGTTGGAGAGATCTCCCTGACAGGGCCCTGGAGACCTAGAAGGACCCAGCAAAGAATAAAAAAAATATGTTTTAGGAAGTATTTTGTTAAAATAATTCCTAGGGACCGCTTGCTGTGAAAGCTGGCAACTGCCTTTTACGTTTTCCTAATGTAACTTGATTGTACATTCCTTGTGTCCCCTTTTCTTTTAATGAGATCTGAAGGCACCAGATTCACATAAGGTATTCAGGACAAGCACTGTGAAATTTTGTATTTTTTATTATGCTGCAAAATACTTTTAAAAACAATGCATATCTCTGCCTCTTCTGAATAGCAGCCTCTGCTTTACACCATATGTCACATGGCTGTAGGAGAGGCTATTGATAGGTGGGTGGGGATCTGGGCAGGACACTAGGGATGAGGGGTGGAGCTATGAGGGAGTAGTGGAAAAAAAGAGTACGAGTTTCTGAGCACAGTGCTTCTGCAACTACGACAGGAAATATTAGGAAAGCAGAATGAAATGTGGACAAAACATCCAGGAAATGTGAAATGTGCTTTTCAGCATCTATTCAAAGGTATTTGTGGAGACTAAATGGACATGGACATTTAAAAATACAGAGTGAGAGATGTTAAAATTGCATGCTGAAGCAGATATGACATTTATGTATTATGCACTTGTAGCTGTTTTGGTTTTCTAATTGTATTTCTGTAATCACAATAAAATGGAGTGTTTAGCCATATGTACTGGCAGAGTACTGTACTGTTTATGATGTTGGTAAACTATTATGCTTTGGCATTTTTCCTAACGAGCAACTCAGATTTCAGACCCACCTAATGCACACAAATTATATTAACTGGTCTTGGTGTCTGTGCATCATTGTTCAATTTGCAGTTGGAAATTGTTAGTTTATATGAGATTTGTGGCTATGGTAATATTAGTTGTTCCTCTGCCAGCAGAATGTAGTCTGCTCATTTTACTATATAGACCCTTAGAGAGATGCCGTTTCTCAGCTGTAGAAGGGAAATGATAGTTTTAATAAGATGAAGGTTAGGGGACTCCAGTGACCATGAATGTGCAGTTGTAAAGTTGTGTGGATATACTCCTCCTGTCTCCCATTTTACGACCCTCATTCATTATTAATGTAGGCGTAGCATATGTAGCAGAGCCATATATTTGTGTTGTAGCAGGGCAACGTACATGAGTGTAAAATTATATAGCAACACTATAATGTGAACAACCCCTAACATGTGTTGCGCTAGGTACATGCTACCGTGCTTTTAGTGCACACTCTCACACAGGGCACCTAGAATGTGGTACTGTCTGCTAGGGGTGTTGCATTGACATGTATTTTAATTGTGCCACAACGCACCTCCTGGCGGCTGTGTGTTGCAGTGCAATGCATGTTACTGCAATACCACGTGGAGGAAAAAAAGTAGTGCATGCATGTTCAAGAAAGGCCAATTGTTACTTCCATAGCTTTTTGTTTTAATATTTAAGTAACTGAAATAAATTATTTCCTTATGCCCTGATGAATGTACTCCATATTTAGTGTTCTATTCCTTTTATAGTGAAGAGTCCCCACTTTAATATGGCTGTGCCACCCACACTACATATACACAGGATTTCTGATGGCATAATAAAGAGCTACCTATTTGGAGGATGCCAGATGACAATGCTGGGTTTGTTTTCTAATTATATTTCTCTGTATATTCCGCCTCTTGTAGCACACAACACTGTTTGTTACAGACAGGCCCACTTGATTCATTCAAACACCTGAAGACCGGGGGGCGGATTCTGTTTTGTAAATCCAGTCCATTGTGGACCATATAGCATTAGGCAGAAAATAAAACTGACACGAAGAGCAAAGTCTAAATGTGTTTAACGTTTTTGTGGTTTATATTGCAACCAAAAAGCCTAATTAACAATGCAATAGGCAGGTTCTCTCCTAAGGAACATTTTCTAAGCAGCAGTCTTAGCAGCTGTTTGTAGCTAAATCACCAATGTACAGGTTGGGAATTCATCTGTTCCGGTGTAGAAATGCTGACCTGTCAGAAAGGTGTGAGCTGCTCGGTATTAAGATTTGTGATCAATCATTAACTTGTTCATGGCAACACCGGTCAGAGTAAAAGAGAAATCAGTTTCCTTTAATTATTTATACAAGTTAAGGCTCATTGTTCACCTTCATACTTCAACTTAGTGCATACTTGGAACGTCATTTACATTGTACGACAAACATTTTGTCAGAGAAATTGTAACCATACCCTGAAGTTAAAGCTGAATTCCAGGCAAACCACTAAATACGGATCCGAAATACATACGGGAGCTTTTTTTTTTTTTTACCTGCCAATGGATTCGTATTTCTCCATCAAGTTCAGAGATTTACAGATCCCTGCTATACAGAAAGTTAGGTAGGAGACCTCGCTCTTCTCTGCTGTAGTTAAATAGTAGTCCGGTCACCCGTCCCTGCTCCTAGCCTCTGAAGAAATACATTGCTCTCCTCCTTTCAGCAAAATCCTTGTCAACACACCCCCAGGTAGGCCCCTAGTGCTGTCTGAGTGCAGTAGATGGCCAAGTTGCATCTAAAAACACTTATTAGTGATTTTGTGTCAACTACAGAACATAACTGTATTCATTGTTGTTTATATCTGCCTAGAGTTTGGCTTCAAAGCTTTTATCTTCTTGAGCTTTAAGCTTTGCCTTCCCGGTATCC